AAAGAAAAAACTCATACCTTTCTATTATAGATGCGCTAGCAACCCAAGCCTCCCAGAAATACATCTGCTTAGGTGATGACGAGACTCCAGGTAACAACACAGTACCACCAGCCCTGGACACCCGTGGGCACAAACTACATCTGTTTTCCTTGTTTTGTTTTGTTTTTCAAGAAAAAAAATAGGAACAGCTTCTTATTCTTTTTTAAGTATAAGATTGACTACTTTTTCTCATTTACAAGCATGTTATGGTGACCATTTTTCCTAATGGCAGAGTTCACACGTCTGGGGATCATCAATATCCTTTTTTGCTGGAATATACCCAGTCCTGATATCCCTGGCCTGGAAAGTTGCTGTGAATTAGTGACCTCATCATCTGGCTTGGACAGATGGGATCATCTGGTTAGCTACGAAGTTTTCTAGACATGGCACAAAGAGATTAGTTACCACTTTCCAAAGATTCAAAACAGGAGAAATAGCAAAAATAAAAAGGGTTTTAGTTCTCTGAGAATATTCAGAAGGTCTTGGCTGCAAAGAGCAGCCTTCCGCTGCCTGCTGCCCACAAGCAGAAGGTATAACTAACTGGAGGAAGCTGCGTCCAACATTTGGAGCTAGAAGCCTCGGAAACTGACACTTACGGCCTGTAGCTTTGAGCAGATCTCTGAACCTTCATGTGCTCATCTATAAAATGGGAGTCACATCAGGAAGAGTCAGGATCTCCCCTCCACTTTACAGGCAGAAATCCTTCTCCATCTGTTTCCTCAGAAGAGCCCACAAGATAGGCAGAGCCAGATGGGGGAACGTATGGGGACGCGCTCGGAGAACTGTAAAGCACCAGGCAGAGAACAAGCGTCATCAGCCATGGCCACAAAGCCGTCCGCTCTCGGGAAGCCCAGATGTTCACCTTCTTTCCTTGTCAGGACTTACAAAAGCAGCGTCGAGTGTTTAATAATAAGAAAGAAAAATGCAGCATCTGGTAGTTTGGCCTTCCCAGCTGTTTGGAATCTGGATAAGCGGGACTCTGCCATAAACAGATCATGATTCTTATTGTAAATGATGACACTGTTCGTCCATGACGCGGCACCGTCCCCAGTGCCTCCCAGTCTAGATCTGGAAACAGCATAGACGGATAAACTGCTGGATTCTGGACCACATCTCTTCCCTGCTTAAGGTCTGTTCCAGGCAGAAGCCAGACCAAGTCACTGGGCAGCAGTGGCCACAGAAGACCAGAAGCAAGGCACCTCTTCTCTCCCCTCTTCTGGCATCAGAGTTAGTCTCCATCACGCTCAGCACTTTAAAAGGTAAATCTTCCTTGTCCCTCATTCTACAGCCTTTTCCACAAGTATCACTGTGGAAAAGTGTGCAATCCTGCACAAGTGAACAGAAGTGACCGCCTCCGCCATTTTTGCTTAGAAAGCACTCACTGAATCCTTGTTTTATTTTGCCTGTGAGGTCAGCATTATTACCTCTCATGCAAATGGAAGGTTGAATGAGTGCTTTCACACATCACATTTAGTAATCCTGAAAAGTAACCAGGCACACCAAGATGGTCCTTCCTCCTAAGGTTGGCATCAGTCTTTCCAAGTCTCAGGGCAAACCTACCATAGATAGGGGGACCTGAGGCTCAGAGGGGTAAAATTGCTTCTCCCAGCATCCCACATATTGGGGAGGGGCAGGTCTTATCGTTTCCAGCACAGCCAATAAATATGTTTCAATTGGTATTTCTGTCTGTTTCCAATAAGCCTGAGAGCTTGGAACTCGGCACCATGTTGGAAGGGTCACGGGGGCTGGCAGCTATTGTGGTGGGAGACGGCGAAGCAGGAAGGTGTCCTTCCTTAACAGCATTTCTGAGAGCCTGCAGAAATCCACTGGGTTCTCCCAGGCCGCTACCCTTGACCAAGGAACATGCCAGAGGAAACCCCTACCCCCCCTACCTTCCCTTCTCTGGAGGCCAGGTGATGCCAGAGCCAGGCCTGATGTGCGGGGTGGCCTTCTACAGACCAGACATTTCTCCCACCCAAGGGCCTCAGTTTCCTCATCCTGCAAATGTATGTCATAAATCCCACCTACCAGTCTCACTGGGAGGCTGTGGGGGAAAAACAAAAACAGTTTAGCAGCCTCCTGCAGAAAATGTAACCAGAGCCCGACTGGAGGTACAAATAAAGGAGCTGTCTCCCATCCTCCTCTGCCCTTGGCAAATGCAATCCCAACATAAAGATTTCTCCTTTTAGACACACTGGGTGGGGCCATGTATAGATACAAATAACTGGGATGGGGGAACTGGCAGGAAGAATAGGTAGGGAACACAATGTACAGATGAAAGGTATCTGACCACTGGAGGGAACAGAGGAACAAAGGCTACCTTCCGGACAATAGAAGGCTCTGAGATTAGCTGTGATTTTTAAAACACACTAGAATGCAGTAGGATATGGAAGTCGGGAGGACCGAGTCCTGAAGCAGGGTTGAACAGGACAAGCCAGGGAGTGCAGGCAGTTTCTCGGCGGCAGAGACCTTGCAAGTGCATTCCAGCAACAACTCTGCAGTTTTTCTCAAATGTGGTCTTTATGTCTTGGATAAGAGAGTGACATTTAAAGGAAGACAAGAAATATCACTCTCCTACAAAGTCAGGTGTTTTCTTTAAAAAACAAACAAACAACAACAAAACATAGGTACATTTATCTCATTTGACCAGGGCTAGAACTGGGCAGCAAACTGGCTGCCTTTTCTCAGGTGCTCTGCACCTGAGAAAAAGCAGCCTTCCTTAAAATCACCTGGAAAGAAAATCAAGAGGTTTCAAGTGCTGAGATAGTCAAACCCCCAACCTTCGGTTTCTCCCAAAGGGGGAAAAGAGCCTTAACAATTTCTCAAATTCCTGTTTCATTATCTGTCAGCATGAAACCTATAAATAATGGCTCAACGGAGGGGATGAACCCTTTCATGAGGACATCGTCACCCTCCGTGACTCCAGCCAGTACCCACACCGGGCTGCCGCCCTTCTCCAGCCTCACTGGTAGCAAAGAGCTTTGTAAAGTGACTTTTGCCCAAGATGATGCTTCTGAAAAAACTACACAAAAGTCCATTTTTCAGTCAAGACTTGATCCAGGCTGCATTACAGAGCCAGCTAATTCTCCATCCGGAATCTAGAAATCATTAATTCCTCTCTTGACAGATGGGGAAACTGAGGTCCCCAGAGGGGTGGGGTCCTGCTAAAGAACCCTTCTGGTTTTTGTTATTTAAGGAGATTGGAATACTCAGCTGCTCAGAAACAACCATCACAGGGGTTGCTACTCCTCCTTACAGTAAAATGTTGATGTATCCTACAACTTTTATCGGAAACATAAGAAACAAAATTATGTCATTTGTGCTTTCTATGTACACTGTTCCTCCATGCTTATTGAGTTTAAATTAGCTGTTTCCTAAAGCAGGCATCATTTTATACTTGACAAGCAAACCCCATACAATTACAGAGAAATCAAGGAACTCCGGAGAAAAATTCCGAAGTGTCCCTTCAAAGGCTTGTGCACCGAGGAGCTGAACGACTCTCCACACCCGCGGCCGGCACGTGGGCAGGGCCAGACTCACCCTTCCCGCCGGCGGCGGCAGCCTTGGATGAGCCGTAGTCTCGCGGACTCCGGGGCCGCAGGAGATCGTGGGCGCGCGGCGGAGGCACCGGCAGTCGAGGGAGCAAGTCCCGCGCGACCCCGTCCCCGAAGCCGCCGCCACTCACAGTGACCCTGAAGGCCATGTGTGCGCCGAGGCCGGCGGGCCCGAGGCCGGGGCCGGGCGCAGCGGGGGCCTCCTTGGGCCTCTTGTCCGAAAGCGCTTCGGCCACCTCGCAGTGCATGGCGCCGGGGCGGGGCGCACGGCTGGGGGTCGCGCCAGGCTCCTGGGGAGAGGAGATAGCACAGGCGCGTTAGAATGCAGGCGGTGGATCGTCTTCCCAGGAGACCGCCCTCGGCTCAGCCAGAATAGGTCAGTGGACCGTACCGACCCAACCTTCATCCACCTGGCCCCAAGAACTCCCTGGTTCTCCGCGCCGAGAGAAGGCTGCTCGGTTCCGCCGCGCGCTTTTCCGCAGAGCCCCTGAGCCTCGGGCCGGAATCCGCCTCCACCGAGCCCAGCCCTCTTTGGACGAATGGCGAAACTGAGGGCTGGGCGGGGAGAGCGCCTTTCGGCGTCCCCTGGAGGAGCAGGGAGCTGGTGGCGACAGGATCCCCAGAGCGGGGCTCTAGCGAAGCAGCAGGCAGCTTGGAGAGGGTGCCTGGCTGCGCACTCCAAGCGCGCTCCGGCCGGCCCGGCTGCGCGCACTCACCGGTACTGGGCGCGGACCCGCCGCAGCTCATCCGCGACCCACAAACCCGTCCAACGAAGGTGGGCGCTCACCCTAGCTGCGTGGACCCATCACGCGCACTCTGAGACACATACATTCCCAGGCGCGTCAGGAGAAACGCGCCGTCGCGCGCGCAGTTCCTCGTGTGGGGGATGCTGGTGCATGCCGGCTCCCACGCACACGCACACCCGGTAAACGCGCGCTCGCGGGCTGGCTTCATTCTCACACTCGGACATCACCAGCACTAGCTACCGCTTGCACGCCGCGCGCTGGGGACTCCCGCCGCCAAAGCCTGCCTCGGTCTTCACCCTGGGCTCGAGGGCTCGAGGGCCCGGGTCCCCAAACTCTCTTCGCTCCCGGGCGCTCCCCTCGTTCACCCGAAGCGACCCTGCTCCGGGCGCTGTTGCACGGCCCGCCTCGGGTGCAGATCCCAGGCGCGCGCCCCTTCTCACCTCGCGGCGGGCGCTGCAGTCGCGGGGCGCAGGGCTCCGCGCGCCTCCTCTGGCGCCGAAGCCCCCGCAGAAGCTGCGTCCTGCGGGGCGGCACCCGGGGCGGACCGGACCCGGCTCCAGACGGCGACTCAGGCCCCTGGTTCGCCGCGGCCGCCGGCCCAGGCCAATCGCCGCCCGAGGGCGGGCTCCTCGCCGGGCACTGGGCGGAGCCTGCCGCGGGTTTGACAGGCGGCGGCCGAGCGGATCCCTGCGCGCCTGGCCAGCCGCCCTGCTCCGCGGAGCCGGGCAGGACCGGGGCGGCGCGGGGGATGCGGGCAACGTGCGGCCGGCCGAGCGCGCCCCTGCGGCCCGACCGGGATCCTCCCCAATCGCGGTCGTTCTTTGTCCCGGCCACCTGGGAACGCGATACCTGCTAACCAACGCGGAAAGAACCAAGACGAAATTTTCTGGCCGAATCCACCCAACTGCCTGAGGAACTCACGCGAGGTAGCGGCAAAGCTGGGAGCGAACCCAGGCGTCTCCGCGCAATTTCCCACACTTTCGCCTTTGTGGTAAGTGTTTTCCCCGGGAAAGAGTCCATGTAGACCAGGAGGTCTCAAAGTGTCTGCACCCGGTTCTCCTGCTTCGGGGACTCCGCCCCCAACAAAGCCGTGTCCGGAGGGGACCGGAGAAGGGAATAAGGCTTTGGGTGCCTGGAAGCAATAGCTCAGATAGCCTCTCAGAGAGCGCACCAGTCTCCTTCTGTATAAAGTGGGGGTGTTCTGGGCCTGGCTTTCAGCGAAGGCTAGAAGGCTACGGTAGGATCCAGTTCCCCTCTCCCCAAGTGGGTTCTGCAGGTCATCTACGGCTCTGGATTCTGCACCTCCCCTGAGCTCTGCGTGCTGAGCTCCCGACAGCCTGAGGGTCCTGCTGCACTTCGTTCAGGGTCTGGTCTCTTTGGCCTTGTTTTCAAACTGAGAAAAGTAACCTGGCTCTCCTTCCTACTGACAACAGGTAAGGTTCACACCACAGGATTCTGCAAGAGTAAGACACACACACACCCCAGCAGCAGCATTTCCCGAATCTGGGGACACCAGGATTTTAAGAATCATAAAATTTACCATCTTATCACTTCCTAAACAGTCTCTTCCGATGAGCAAACGGTAGGAAGGGCCTTGAAGTTTCGGTTAGACCCACCCCACCCCAACTCTGAGGAGAGGATGTCACTGGCTGGCAGCAGTGTGTGGTGGGGTGTGGCGGGCCTGGTACCCAAGTGCAGGCTTCTTGACCCCAAAGCCAATGCTCTTCCTCCTGTGTCATCCGTGCTGCCCCTAAGGCGTTCAGACATCAATCACGGTGCCTGGAACACACAGGCCAAACAGTGCTTAGGTACCCAGCCTCCCCTTGGGCTGGGATTTGGAGCTGGGAACTATTACTACTTTTGTGGCAGAAGGGGCTGAGTAGAGAGCACTGAGAGTAACTCACCAACCCTCCAACAAGGCCACCAGATGCCCACATCCCCACCCACGCACTCTTCTGATCTGCCAGAGCTGGCTCTGCCAACAGGCCATGTGACCTTAGTCAAATTATAACCTCTTGCCTGGTCTGTTTGCCCCTCATAAAGAAAGCAAGAAGTTTAGAGTTCTGGCCTTTCCAGTTCTGTCCTTGGGTGAGACCAGGGGCTGACTCCTTTGCCTTCTCTCTCCACCACACACGCGCACACACACACACACACACACACACATGCCACAGAGTGCTACACGTTTACTTGGGACCCTGACGCATTTGCTGAATGAGTCATTTAACCAACTGGACCAGCAGACCAAAAGAGTCTCCAAATTTCCAAACACAAGAACAGTTCATTCAGACATTCTATACTGCAAAGTCAGCCTGTTTTGAAGAGAGTAAAACCAAATGTGACATAACAAAACAGAGTCAAATAAAAAGGATGGACATAATACATAATGTAAAAACAAAATACAAGGTGATCAACAATGGTTACCATAATGCCTCTTGCTATCTTAAAAAGAATTGCCTATATCATCAGTTATAATAAAATTGAGCAAAACAGTAAAGAACAAAACCAATAAAACCAAAACACTGGAGACATTGCAGGACTTCAAAAGCAGATAATATTCAACCAGAATGGGCGTCAAGTGAATCTTACTGTCTTCACAGTTGTTGCCTATACTCTCGAACTTGGTACTATCAAGCAAAACAGAATAGAGGAAAATCAGTCAAAACAAGATAGTAAGAGCAATACAGGGTTTCAAATCAAGTTAATAGGAAATCAAAGTGGGTTACTATAATATATCCTGCTATTTTTATTTATTTTTCCTTAATTAAAAAGATAAAAATAAAAAAGTAAATAATAAAAAAGCAGATTGAGATAAAAGAGAGCATAACAACAAAACAGCACAGGTCAAAACATAACCATTTAAGCAAAATAGTGTTTCACCACAAGATATCCTGACATAAAAGTAGTTACCATAGTGTTTCTTTCCTTGAAGTCTTTGAGTATAACTTTGTATACTGTAGCACCAAACATATCAAGACAATGTAAAACCATTCAAGAGAATGACAGTATTACAGGGTATTTAGAACCAACTATCAGAAAATGAACAATGGTTTCTGTATAATCTCCTTGTCTATAAAAGTTTTTGTTTATATTATCACATATAATAAAATCCAATAAGATACAAACTGTTAAGACCAATGGAAACAGAAGAATAAAAGCTTGATGGGACTTCAAAACAAGACGATATTAAATCAGCAATAGCTATTATGATGTCTTGTTTTCTCTAAAATAGCTGTTCCTACCATCCAACCTTCTCTGCCTCATTTCTGTTGAGCTCTTTTTCTGTCATTAGTTGTCAGGTTGTCTTCTTCATTTTGCTTTCTGCTCCATTCATTGTGGCCTCTCTGCCACTGTTTCTGGAATCTTGGTATTTTTCTTTTTTAGAATATCCTGCAGTATTCTCTGTAGAGTTGAATTGGTGGTTGCAAATTCCCCTAGTTCCTCTTTATCCTGGAAGCACCTGATTTTTCCATCAATTTCTAGGGACAGTTGTGCAGGATGTATCAATCTTGGCTGGAGGTTATCTTTCAAAGCTTGAATTATTTCCCCCCACGCTCTTTGTGATTTGATGGTTTGTGCCAAGAAGTCTGATGTAATTCTGATGGGTACTCCCTTGTAAGTGATCTGTTTCTTGTCTCTGACGGCTTTTAGTATTCTGTTCTTATATTGGATTTCTGGAATTTTGATTATTATATGCCTGGGTGTAGCTGTGTTTGGGTTGTAGGTGGCTGGGATCCTGTATGCCTCATATATCTGAGTATCTTTACCTTTTGCTAAATTAGGAAAATTCTCCTGAATTATTTCTGTGAATAGCCTTTGTAGTTCATTTGTTTGTGTCCCTACTTCTTCTTTTATGTTCTTAATTCTTGAATTATAGATCCTCTTATCAACTTCTCTAGCCTTTGTATTATTGTTGTTTGTTTCCTTGTTATTTTTAAGAAGTTTTTCATTTCATGCTCCCACATTACAAATCTGTCCTCTAGTTCAGATAATCTATCCTTAGTTTCTTTCAAATTGTTATGCCAGCTTTTAGTAGAGTTTTTAGTTTCCTGGTAATCTCTTTGAACCTGCTTCACGTATTCTGTGTTTTCTCTATTTTCTCCATCAAACAATTCTCCCCTTTTTTTCTGTTCTTCCATTCCACCATCTGTTTTTTCTTGGGCGGTGCTTAGCATTTCTCTAACTATTCTACTTATATCTTGCTTTACTTCATTAAATACTTCACTTTGAACTTGTCTATGAGGCTCCAGAGATATCGCTTTATGTCTATTCATCTGATATTGATACCATGTCTGATATTGCATGTTTTCTGTCCTCATTCTCCTTTGAATTTCCCTTTCCTGGATCAGTGTTCTCAGGATTAGGGACTGAGGACCCTTTCTTGTTCTCCCGCTTCCCATATTTTTTGTTCCTTCCATACAAGCATATACAGGAGGCCCAGTTTCTTTATTTGTCGGTTACAGTTTGTTTGAATCCACCAGCTAGGTGTTCCCGCCCACTGCAGTGTACTAGAGAGACACAGATCTGGGCAGCCTCTGCTGGGTCCGCCCCTCCAGGTCAAGCTACTGAAGGCTTCACTGCTAGGGTGCACCGCCAGGTGCAGGGACCTGGTTTGGGCTAGCCTACTGGGTCTTAGTCCGTGACGTCACCCAGGCCAAGGGCTCCCCACCAATCCCACTTGAGAGGGGGATCTACAACTAAAGTCACTGCAGCATCCTGTTCCGGCTAGTCTGCCCAGTCCCAGAATGTCATCTGTTGGAGTCTCTTATCTATGGAAGAGTCCCCATTCCTCTCACTCACCACAGGTCGATGCAGGGCTCCCCGCCAGTCCTGCTCTCAACTCCGTTTGCCGATTCCTGCTCTCAGAGCTTTCACATCTCTGTCCCTGCCGTGCTGATTCAGACGCAGCAGCGGCGGCAAGAAATTCAAATCGCACAGGTTCCTGCTTCAGCGCTGAGATTTTATCTGTTCCAGTTATAGCACCGGGATTGCATTTCCAGTTGGTTTCTCTCAGCTTAGTTCGTTCTTGGGTTGGCAGGCTATATCTCCCCTTGCTTAGGACTCCTCACACAACACCATTCCTGGATTCTATGGTGGCTATCTCAGAGAGCCTCCATAGCTGCTGTTATCTATCCACCATGTTCTCCCAGAAGTCTCCCATATTTGATTTGTCATAAGTTCACCTAATACCCCCCTTCTCTCTGTCCTCACTACCTTTCTCCTAGTTCTCACCGCATTCATCCTCCTCCTCTTCCTTCTCCTCCTCATGACACATTGGTCTCCCAGTCTGCCTCTAACACACAGATCTCACCATGGAACTGCCCTGTTTAAAGATCATTAACAGCTCCCCAAAAGTTTTGCAAATAAAATCAAAACATTTTCTAACTCTGTCTTTGCCCTGCCCCATGTTTCAAGCACCCTGAATGAGTCTTCATCTTCTAGAACCTGGAAGGCATTTTTGTGCTTTCATGGCAGCAGTGGCACAGTTGATGTTTTTTCTGGAGGAACCGTTTCCCTCTCACCCACCGTTCATAATCCTGGCTTCTGGTTGTTTAATACCCAGCTTAAGTGTCACCTTCCTAGAGCTTTCCCTGAATTCTCTTTCCTGCACTGTCTACTGGACTCTGTGTCAGAACTTCCAGCATGGTTTTGTAACTGTCTGTTTAACAGTCCATCTCTGATTCTGGACCGAGCTCTGTGAAGGCAGGGGCAGCCTTTCCCCTGTGTCTCCAAGACCTAGCAGAGATTCTCACACCAATTTAGCAAGAGGAAGAGTTTGCTGAATGCTGACTGAATTACAAAAGACTGACTACTGCTTCTTTTTTGTGTCTGCACTAGTATCTATCTAAGATCTCCTGTGCTGAGCAGATGTGAGAAGCGAGCTGTGACAGACAGTACACTGCTGGCTCTGATTCTGTCTGTCACAGAGAAGGAAGAGTTAACATTCACTATTCTGTCCTACGTGCTGTGGCTGAGTGTGATCTCATTTAATCCTGGCAAGATCTCTGAGATAAACAGGTTACCATCCCCACTTTCTAGGTAAGGAAATAAAAGTTAAAAGTTAAGTGATCTACCAAAATTCTCACATGTAAGAGTAAACCTCCTGCCCCCTGTGTATTTAAGATTGCCTAAACCACTCATGGAGCAGAGAATACTACTTTTTAACAAGTGATACTAGAAAAAAAATAATACTAAAGTCGGATGGGGTGGCACATGCCTATAATCCCAGCATTCTGGGAGGCTGTGGCACAGAGATCAGAGCTGAACCTGGGTAGTGACTGGTGAGATGCCCACATCTCAAAACTGAAAATATACAGAAGGGCTGGGATGCAGAGTGGCGGCAGAGCCCTGGATTCAATCCTCAGGACTATTAAAAACTGTATATAAATATGCACAATTAATATCTATGTACAAAATAATAATGAAGTTGGACTGTTGAACTGTTACCTCACACCATATACAATGAGTAATTCAGAATAAATAACGAGTCAAAAAACCATGAAACACTGGGAAGAAAATGTAGGAGTAAATCTCTTTGACTTTGGATTTGGCAATGGATTCTTCAGTATGACATGAAAAACATGAGCAACAAAAGAAAAAACAGATAAAATAGACTTTATCAAAATTTAAAGCTTGTCTTCATCAAAGGCCATTATTAAAGTTATAAAAAGACAACCCAGCTAGACACAGTTGTGCGTTGCTACCTACTCAGGGAATTTGAGGCAGCAGCCTTGTTGGATCCCAGGAGTTCAAGGCCAACATCAACCACAGGGCAAGACCCAGACTCAAAAAAAAACACTCTGTAGAGCAGGAGAAGACATTTGCAAATCCTTTTCTGATAAGGGTTAGCATGCAGAACATGTGTAACAAACTTAAGACTCAATAAAACAAAGATACAATCTGATCAAAACATGGGCAAAGGGTTCCAACAGATGTCTCTTCAGAGAAGATAGAGAAGTGATGGGGCTGGAGATTTAGCTCAGCGGCATAAGTACCTGCCTTGCAAGCAAGTGTCGTGAGTTCAATCCCCAGTACGGATAAAAATGAAAAAGACAAAAAAAAAAAAAAAAAAGATAGAGAAGTGACTAAGAAGCATGTGGTTTTGATGAGCTCGCAGTAGGATTTTTGTCTTTGAGAAGAGAAAGGGCAGAGAGCACGGAGCGCTCACTCATGCGGGACACAGTGAAAAGCCACCCATCTGTGAAGCAGGAAAGGGCCCTCGCTAGAAACAGGGCCCTGCCAACACTTTGATCTCAGTCTCCAGAACTGCGGGAAATAAGTATTTACTGGTTAAAACACCCAGTCTACAGTATTTTATTACAGCAGCTCAAGTAGACTAGGTCCACTGGACAGACTAGGATAGTCCCAGTGGACTACCATTTAGCAATTGATTGTGTATTGCATTAGCTTTTTTCAGACAGGGTCTTGGTAAGTTTCCCAGGCTCATGATCCTCCTGCCTCAGCCTCCCAAGTCCAATGGCTGGGACTTGCTCTAACAGCTCCCTCTCCACCTTCCACTGTCCCTCTCCAGGCCTCATCTCTGCCCTGAGCCACTGGACCAGCTTTCCATCTGTCCCCCTCCTCCAGCTGGACGGACCCTTTCAGCCTACTCTCCCTGCAGCCATTGTGGCTACACCACTCATTCAACCCACTGCTCTCCCTAAAGCCTCTGGAGTGCCCCTGAGCTCTTCAGGAGCAGGGATTGCTGCTTGCTTGGCCGCTGTGGCCCTCCTCTGAGCACAGTGCTGTGGATGTCCACGTGCATGGAGCACATGACTGAAGAGAAGCAGGTGTTTATAAAGTGGGTTTGAGCATTCTTGAAGGAGGTGCAGACCCTCTAAACCTCATTCAGAGGCCAGAAGATAGTGCTAAGCGTGGAAGGTGGAAGCATGCAGAGCCATGCAGTGTACTGGCCATTCTCATCCACAACACTGTCTATACGTTCCCTACCGGGCCCTCTCCTCCGTGCCGGAGAACCAGAGCTTCCACACAGTGGGTGCAGAGCACTCATCACACAGGACAGCTACAAGAATAAGACGCTGTGGGAGGAACACTCTGTGTGGACAGGACAGGAGAGGTGAGGCCGGACCCCATCTGAAGGCCAAGAAAGGCTTTCCTGGAGGCTGCTGGCTAAGCTGGGAGCTAACTGGGCGAGGGCTGGGGAAATGCTTTTGGGTCAGGTAGAGGATGTTGTGCAGAGTGTGGCTACGAGGCGCTGGCTGCACTGCAAAGGGGCCTGGCTGGATCCCAAAGGCAATGGAGGCTTTTATGCTAGAGAAGGACTGGATCCATTCTGCTGTGAACAGTCCCGCAGCTGCCATGTGGAAGATGGACTGAGAAGAAGCAAGAGAGGCTGCTGAGCAATCAGCAGAACTCTAGAAAGCGCAGTGAGACGGCCAGACTTGGTGCCAGGAGTGGGATGGGCAGAAGGGCCCCCAAGGAGATTCGCTTGGGCAGCGAGCGTGAGGTGTGGGCAATGGGAGGTGTGGGTAGGAAGCCAAGGCCAGTTTTTAGAAGAAGAGAGACTGAGAGTCCAGAACTCCCCTGGGTAGCTCAAGGCATTCTGCAGCCTTCACGGTGGCTTGCAGTAGCAAATGTGTCACCATTGCCAGGCCAAGTCAGACCCCTTTCTCAAATGCGCATCACACGTCACCTCTTTGCTATAGAAATTTTAATTGGTTTTTTAAAAATCCATTTTATTTCAAAGAGGAAAAAAGTTTCAAAACGTCACTAATTTTCAGCACATCACTGGATTTATAAGGAAAACATAATCAGACAATATAAAAACCATCAAAAGAAAGCGGATTTGAATACCTCGGGACAGCACGAGTTACACAGGTGAAGCGGCCTTAATTTCCGGAATGCACAGCACCCCGCCCCGCAACTGGGGTTCACATCCGGGCTGCGGACGCCACTGCGCGCGCTCAGCAGCGGAGAGGGCCGCTTTCTAGACGCAGGAACTGAGAGCCGGAGAGGATAAGTGGCTGGCGCGAGGCCTGGAGCTGGCAGAAGCAACTCGGGGCTCCGTCGTGGCTAGGTCTGCTTGCTCCTCACACCAGCGTCTGTCCCTTGGGCCGCAGCACCTCTTCCCTCTCCTGCCTGTTGTGCCTTCCTGGCTGACCACCCCCACCCCAATCTGACCAAATTCAAGGGCATGCAGCCAGCTTCCCGTCCCAACCGAACCCCACAGCATAGAGCCACTGTCATCATTCCTACATGTGACCTCTGCTCATCGCCCCTCTTGGAGCATGTATTTTCTGCCATATTGCACACCAATTTCTGGATTTGCTGTAGGCCTAATAATAAACTACACCCCGGGCCCCTTTTCAGTACTGGAGATCAAACCCCGGGCTACATCTTCAACCTTTTTATTTTTTTTATTTTGAGGCAGGGCCTTACTAAATCATTAAGTTACCCAGGCTGAACGCCAGTTTGTGGCCTTCCTGCCTCAGCGTCCCAGAGTGCTGGGATTACAGGCATGCGCCACCACACCCAGCTGACTTTGCACCCCTTGAGGTCAAGGACTTTGTCTGTGTATGAGGGATGTTTGTGGATTTGAAGCTATGTAGAAAAGTGATTCAACAGACCCAAAAGTTGGTAAATGAGGCTGAAACAATGTATCTGTGTGTGAATAAGGAAATGCATACAGTAAAGTTTCTGGTACAAATGCTTGTTTGTAAATAACACAGTTTGCAAATAATAGCATCTGGCAAAATTTTGCTTCCCTTCACAAACTCCCACAGTGGGTGACAAATATTACCACGCGGTCTTCTCCACAGAAATGCAAAGGCAGCCATCTGCCCCAAAACTGTAGAACAGATTAAGCTCAAAAACTGAGGCACTGCTATCATTATTTCATATTTTTATTAATTTTTTCTTATAAATAGCGAGTTTATGCATACACACAAGTATTTCCATATAGTCCATAAGTTTCTCTTCAGACACATAATAAAATCTGTATATGCAGAGAGCATTCTGAAAAATAAAAGAATGGAATAATATTCATACATAAATTTGAAATTAACCTTCTAATTGTAAAATCAGTTTTAAGGCGTTCATACACATCTTTTTACGTAATCATTTCTTCAAAGACGATTTCTCGGGTTTGATCCCCGGTACCGATAAAAAGGAAAAAGACAAAAACAAATTAAAACAAAAGATGATTTCTCTCTTTCATAAAACCCATACTTACCTTGCTGTATGCCAAACTCAAAGACTCATGCAGTGTTACAGTTGGAAATGAACTTAAAAGTCAAAGGGGTTGAAGGGAGGGTAGGGAACCAAGTTATCTCAAGTACAGATACAAATTCCCTATGATGAATGTGATTGTTATGTATACTTAAAATATACCAATAAACCTGATTGATTAAAAAAAATTATTCAGTCCAGTGCCAGGTGTGGTAGGACACCCCTGTAATCCTAGCATTGGGGAGGCTGAAGCAGGAGGATTGCTGCAAATTAAGAGGCCATCCTGGGCTACATACTAAATTCAAGACCAGTCTGAATAACACAGCAAGATCCTGTCTCAAATAAAAGTTGCACACAACCTCCAGGGGGCATTTGCCACGCTCCCTTGTAACCAGACGTGGCCCTGTAGCCAGTGAGAGCCAGCAGTATGCGACCTTCCAGGAAGTCTCCTTAAAGGAAGGCTTCCATTCTCCTAGCCTGTTTTCCTCCCTTTCCTTGCCTGAAAGGGCGGCTGAGTCCTGATGACCTCAGGATGTCACCACAGCAGCACTGGACGGCCTATTTCTGGATCTTATTTGAGGAAAAGTACAGTTGCTATTACTTAGGCTGCCACTTTGAGTTTCCAGCTCTGTGCTGCCAAATCTGACTGACCTATCTTGCTACTGCTGGGCCCTGTAAACCTGCTCCTGTCTCAGCAAGTGACAGTTCTGTCCCACCAGCTGCCCAGAGCAAACACCTTGGAGTTAGTACTAAAGACCCTCACACCCCACGACCCTGCCGCCAGCAATTTGTCAACCCTCCAAGCGGACCAAACCCACCCGCTTCCCTCCCTTTCCCCATCCTCCCTCCATAGCAGCCCCATCCTAAATAGCTCCCTGTGTTCACTCCTGTCAGCCAGCCTCTCTCCCCGTCTGTGTCACACAGAATAGCCAGGCTGAACCTGTACAAGGGTAAGCTGGCCAGGTTACCCGCTGTCCTTAGAGCTTCTCAATGGCTGTAGGGATGGAGAGCGAAGTCCTCCCCAGAGCTACTGCCTGCGGAGGCCAGGTCCCCGCCTAGGCCTCTGACCTCACCACTCAACAGCCCTCTTCCCACCCTGGAGCTCACCGGCTCCTCCTGGGGCTGTCTGCTTTGGGCTCTGTCCATCCCCACCCCTTATTCCCTCCCTTACCCCTGCAGGCCTCTGACTGAATGTGGCTTATTGGGAAGATCTTCCAGACCACCCTAAAATAAAACTCCACTCTGCTGACCTCTCTGCATTCCTTCTTCCGTGCACTCACTGCATGGCCTTTGCTGAGTTTGTGGTTCAGATCTGTCCCCTGGAACGGGAAGATCATTTGCTTTCTTCTGTGTGGTTCCCAGTGCCCAGAAAAGGGGCGCCATGTGGCAGGTGCTCGATGCATGGCCACTAGTTGAATGCACGAGTACCTGAACACTAAGCTAGTGTCCTTTAACCAGTTCCTGCAGCCTCTGATTAAAATCCAGGTATAAGTGTGGAGTTCATGCAGCCATTTGTTCTGAGTTTAAGTACTGCCATTGGGTCTACTAGCTGTCCCTGACTAAGTATCTGCTGTCAACAAAAAAATCAACTTCACTTTACTAGTTAACTAAAAAAATATAAACAATTTTGGGTTTCTATTTTAATAATTTTATGGTTAATGGCAACTTTAAAAAAAAACCACCTTGAAGTGAGAGCTGAATTCCAGGCTAATTTGTAAGAGTGCAAAATCAAAAGTCTTTTTAGCAAAATACAAAGCCTTTCCTTACTGTTCTCAGTTAAGAGGGTCAAATAGACCACGCATTATCCAGTGAGGAACACAAGCAGTCCTCTCAGATCTTCCCAGCTTTATGGAAAATCCTGATGATTAATTTTAAAACATGAGTACATAAAAGTCCACTAAAACAGATTTGTCTTTTCATCCACAAACTATTTATTTCTTTTCAAAGTTAGGAAGTCTTCAGCTGGCCTTGTAAACTGAAGTAACAAATCTTTAAGTAAACTTTATTTACTAAGTAAGTCTTAAGCTCAGAACATTTCTGGAGACAATGTATCATTAATATTTGTTTCCATCTGGAGAAGAACAAAGCCTGACAAACACCGGCTCTTTGCTCCAAGAAGACCAACAAGCAGTCTAGCTCCTTCCAGCAGATAGCAGGTTGAACCATGCAAAGGAAAAATTGTCAAGCGCTTTGAGGTTTTGCTTACAAAAATGCATACTCCCCTCACACACTGCTGATGGTCTGTGCTTCGAGCTTCTGAAATATTCTTTCTTCAGGAGGGGAAAAAGCATCTCCCAAGAAAGTAAAGACCTTGCTTTTTGAATACACAGAATGCATTCCATTAATTCTGTGTTCACAGCAATTTATCTCTCCCTTCAGGTTCTTCTGAAGTAAACTCACAACAGCTCTGGAAGACAGCTACTGACACACATGTTGATTAGGTAACCCTACACAGGGTCCCACACACACAAAATAATAAATGGTAGCTGTTACCACTTCATGACAACTATCTAGTATACTCAAAACACTGGCACTTTTTAATATAATATATGCAAATAAATTATTTGGTAGAGCACTTGGAAAACACAAAAAGTAAGGATTTAAAAATCTCCCGCAGAACTGTGCATAAAACCTCCCACAAACAAAAGAGATGCTGTGGACTAGACAATTGTACCTCTAATGACTTCAAAATAGTGACCTCTGCTGGCCAGTGAAAACCTGTGAGCCTTCCAATCAACTTGCATGATGGAGCAAGGGTTGAGTCAGCCATCTCTGGAACAAAAGCCAGGTAACTGTCTCACAAGGGACAGAAATCGTCACACGGGTTTCCACGATGTAACTGGGATGTTAACAGAATAAAAGGCCTTTCCATTTGCTCACCCATCCAAAAGATTTTTTTTCTAACTCTGTGGTCTCCTATTTTTAAAATGCCATAATTGCATGCAAATGTTATAGCAGAAAAACAACGCAAGGGGCATTAAAAATCAATCTTCCATGTAAGCCTCAGATTTTCCAGCATGAAGATCCAAAAGCAGAAGTGGTGACAAATGTGTCGAAAACAGAGTGAAAAAGTCAGAATGCATCATTAAGAATGTTACAGCGAAGGGGGTGGGGATCACTGGGAGCACATGTCTGGTACAGCTGGGAGGAATAACTACCAAAAAGGCTTTTTAAAAACCTACAGACTTCTTACAGATAAGACCCAGACATCCACTTAGGGAGCAGCCCAGACCTTTTTCTTCAGGCAAGTAATATGCTTAGTGGAAGAAGTTGCTCCAGAGTCTGCTGGCTGGGATCTTCAGTGGTGACACACATTCTTACCTCCGAAAGCCTAAAATAAAACAAGGCTGCAATCTGGCAGTCATGGGGCTGTGTAGTTTGGTTTGGCACTCACTGTATTTTTAAAAAATTAATTAGTTGCCAACACTTTAAAAGTGGAGATTTCATATCAAAATCAGTTTCTGCCTTATAAATCAGTGGGGAGATCTGGCCATCCCGGGCCAGTGCTCTCCTGGAGCTGCAGTCAGATACAGCCCCATGGCCCCAGGCATCCAGCAACATGGTCACAGGCTCCCCGCTCTGCTGCACACCCCAACCCTGCCCCGGTCTCTCTCGTCCCCTTGCCATAGCCCCTGCCTCTATGAACCTCAGTCTGAGATCCTGGGCTAGGAAAGACCCTATGACAGTGACAAGTTTGACTCATCTGCACCCACCGGTGTGAACCAGGTAAAAGTACTTTACAAGGCTCTAGGGATCGAAGTGGTAAGACCCGATCCCTGAACCCAAGGAACTCATGAGCTGCGGGAGAAGGAGAAGGCAACGGTCATCACTGATCACAACTGAGGTAAGTGTAGAACTGATAGTGTCTGGATTCATTTTCTAGCTGTTTGAGCTGCCACTTAGCTCACCCATACCCAGCTTTTCTTCTAACATATGCATATAAAGGTACAAATTTCCCTCTAAGAAAGCCGTTAGCTGTATCTCATCAGTTTCTATATTTTCTGTATCTTTTCTACAATTTCTTTATTGACCTGTGGCTTTTTATTTAATTTCAAAATGTATAAAATTGTCAAATTAGCATTTTTAATTGATCTCCACCTTACTTGCCTTATAGACAAATTTTTTTTTTTTTTTGGTACTGGGGATCAAACTCATGACCTTATGCTTGCCAGGCAGGCGCTTAATCCACTGAGCTAAATCCCCAGCCCAACATATTTTATTTTTATTTAAAAGAAAAAAAGACACAGAAAAACAAAAAGCAAGAGACAAACAGCAACAATAAACCCAATACAATAACAGTATAGGTTTACAAAACAAGATGATAGGAATTGGACAGTGGTTGTAATATTGCATATTGTTACCTTCAAAGGGGTTGCTTAGAATAAGATATAGACATGTAAAATTGATTTAACCATATGAATATTAACTGTTCTCTTTCAATAGCTAATACAATTAGTAATGTAGTCATTTTAGCTATTATATATATATATATATATATATGTATATATATATAAATACTCACTCAATTTTTTTTTGTTTGGTATCAGGGATCGAACTCATGATCACACACGCTCACAGGCAGGCGCTTATGCTGCTGACCTAAATCTCCAGCCCTGTACACACAAATTTAAGTCTTTTCCTTTTCCTTCCTTCTTCCTCTCCCTTATCCCAATTACTTTTCCTCCTTGAACAGTTTCTTACTCTTTCATAGTATTTATTGTAGACTTTGGATTGTGTATACTTTTTCAGTTTCTTACACGAGGGAGGCAATATGTTATTTACACATGGAAGCTTGATTCATTTCACTTACAAGTATGGTCTCAAGTCACATCCATTTATTTATGAAAGTCTCATTGCAATCTCTCTTTATAGCTGAATAGTACTCCACTGTATAAAAATACCACATCTTTTTTATCCATTCCTTGATTGATGGGCACTTGGGCTATTTCCAAGATTTGGCTATTACAAATTGTGCTATTAACATGGGTGCACATATATCACTGTGGTATGATATTTTCAATTCTTCTCATAAAATGCCCAGAAGCAGGATAGCTAGGTCAAATAGAATCTCTAACCCTAACTTTCTGAGGCGTCTCCACACTGATTTCCACAGTAGTTGCATCAGCTTACACTCCCACCAATAGTGGAGAAGTTTCTTTTTCCCCACAGCCACTCCAGCATTGGTTATTGGTTGTTTTCTTGATCTTGACCATTCTTTCTGGGGTGAGATGGGATCTCAGTGTTATTTTAATTTGCATTCCATGAATGACCACTGATGTTACATATTTTTTTAAATTTTATTTTGAAAGTATACAACAGAACAAGACAGAATAAAGCCAATTAAGATCAGATATTACATATTTTTTCATCTGAGAAGTGTGTATTCATCTCACATGCCCATTTTTGGATTGGGTCCTTGAATTTTGGGGGCCTGATTTAATTCTTCATATGTTCTAGGTATGTCTTTTGTCTAAGGGATAGTTGGCTAAGATTTTTCCCCAGTTTGTGGGTTTTCTTTTCACTCTGCTGGACATTTCTTTTGACATGCAAAAACTTTCTAACAAGACTAGATCCCACTTGTTGATTCTGGGAAGTATTTCCCATGCAGTTTGATTTTTCCTCATGAACTCTGCCTATTCCTATGTCATCAAGATTTCTGCCTGCTTTGTCTTCCAGCATATTTGGTGTTTCTGTTTTAATATTTAGATTTTTGATCCATTTTGACTTTAGTTTAGTGCACAGTGACAGACATGGTTCTAGTGTTAGTTTTTGGCATATGGAAAGCCAGTTTTTCCAGCACCACTTATTACAGAGGCCGTCTTTCTTCCAGTGTACATGTTTGGCCCTAAAGATGAGGTGGCTGAGTGTGTTTGTAATTATGGCTGTATCTTCTAACCTATTCCACTGATCTTCAGGTCTGTTTTTATCCCTCTACTATGATGATTTTATCACCATAGCTTTGCAGTATAACGGCAAGTCAGGGATCGTGATGCCTCCTGCTTTGCCTTTGTTGCCCAGAATTGCCTTTGCAATTCTAGGTCTCTTCTAGTTCTAGATGAATTTTAGGGATGATTTCTCTAGATTGTGAGGTATGCAAATGGTACTTTGAATGGAATTGCATTAAATCTGTATAATAATTTTGGGAGAAAGGCCATTTTCACAATGTTGGTTCTTCCTATCCATGAACAGGAAATGTCTTTCCATTTTCTCAAATCCTCTTCAATTTCCTTTTTCAGAGTAATGTAATCTTCACTGCATAGATCTTTTACTTCATTGGATTGATTTTTAAGTATTTCATTTTTTGGGGGTGCTCTAGTGAAAGGTAGGGTTTCCTTTATTTCTGAGTTTGTTGTGTACAAAAATGCTACTGATTTTTTAGTGTTAATCTTGTATCCAGCTACATTACTAAATTTGGTTATTATATCTAGAAGTCTTGCAATGGAGTTTCAGGGGTCTTGTCTAGCTCTGGCTCTAGCTAATATTTCCAGAACTATATTGAATAGGAGTGATGATAATGGACATCCTTGTCTTGTTTCTGATTTTAGATTGAAAGTTTTCAGGTTTTGTCCAGTTAGTGAGATATTGGCTGCTGGTGTATCATAGATGGCTTTCATCAGATTGAGGTAAAGACCATCTATTCCTATTTTCTGTAGGATTTTTATCATGAATGAGTGTTGGGATTTTGTCAAAAGCTTTTTCTGCATCTATTGAGAGGATCATATGATCCTTGTCTTTTGCTCTGTTGATATGGTATATTACATTTAGTGATTTGCGTATGTTGAACCACCCCTGCATTCCTGAGATGAATCCCACTTGATATGGTGTATAATCTTCTGATGACTTGTTCCATTCTACTTGCCAGTTTTTTTTGAACCAGGGGTTGAACTCATGACCACATGTTCGCAAGGCAGGTGCTTATACCTCTCAGCTAAATCCCCAGCCCTTGCCAGTATTTTGTTGAGGATCTTTGCATCTGTCTTGATTAGAGATTGACCTGTAATTTTCATTTTTGATTGGGTCTTTCTCTGGTTTGGGTATTAGGGTAACACTTGATCCAGGAATGAGTTAGGTAGACTCTCTTCCCTTTTTTCTTCATTGAAGAGTTTGAGGAGTGTTGACATTGCCTTCCCTAAATGTCTTGTAGAATTCAGCAGTGAACCAATCCATCAAGACTTGGGCTTTTCTTTGTTGGTAACGTTCTAATTACATTTTTAATTTCATTAACTGAAATTGGGTTATATAGCAGTTTTACATCTTCTTGATTCAGCTTTGGTAATTCATATATTTCTAGGAATCTACCCATTTCTTCTATCTTAACAAACTTATGAGAGTAAAGGTTTTCAGCGTAGGTACTGATGATCTCCTGTATCTCCAAGGGTCTGTAGTGATTTCACCTTCTTCATTTACTGTGTGGATTTGAGTTTTTCTTTCCTATTTTTTTTATAAGGTTGGCTAGGAGTCTATCAATTTTACTTATTCTTTCAAAGAACCAACTCTTTGATTAATTCTTTGTATTGTATCCTTAGATTCAATTGCATTAATTTTTGCTCTGATCTTTATAATATCTTCCCTTCTTTTAGCTTTGGGCTTGACTTGCTCTTCTTTTTCTACAAGTTTGAGGTGCAGCATTAGGTTGTGTTTGTTCCATTTTCCTCATGTGGGAATTTAGTGCTATAAATTTCTCTCTAGGACTGCTTTGTGTCCCACAGGTTCCAGGAATTTGTATTTGCATTTTCATTTGACTGTATATAGTTTAATTTCCTCAATTTCTTCTGTGATGCACTTTTAGGGGAGTATTACTTAATTTCTATATGTTCATGGGGTTCTTGTCATTAATTTCCAATTTTATTGCACTATGGTCAGAAAATATGCATGTAATTATTTCCTTTG